AAGTAAGTCAGTTCGTCACTTATTTATTCTCTCTCTCTCTCTATATATATATATATAATATTTTAAGCACAGAATTTATTTAACACTGCACTGGTTATTTTCAGAATTTAATGCTTACTATGCTTTTAAGCAGGCCTTATGTAACATTAGAGCAAATCCAATTGCAATTTTTTTAGAGCGCTCTGAGGAATAGTTTATATATTTATTTTCTGCAGATCTGTTTTGATTTTACTATTTAGCAGCTACCTGACTTTATGTATATGTATATCCATATATTTCTGAAATAAAGCTGTCATATACAACCTTACTTGCATTTCTTATTGTTTTTTTTTTTTTTTTTTTTTCTTCTCCAGGCCACTTAACCCCCAGATCGGGGTCCCTCACATGCTGCACCGCACACAAATGATTATCACGCTTGTACACTACATATGTATATATATGTATACACATATACATACATACACACATACATACACATATGTTACTTTAAAAACCTTTTATTTATTAACTTATGGTGTTCTGTTCAAAGACTGATCAGAACAGGGTTGCAGAATTTGAATTTTGCGTAGCTCCAAACATTAATTTTAGCACTGCAGTGTAATTTACATATACGAGTTGCAACTTTTTAAAGCTCTTATTTATCTTATTTATTTATTTTCTGGTACCGCATCAGGCCTTCACACACACCCCCAGCGCTGTACACACACACACACACACATGGAGCTCCCAAAACTCTGCTCTGCATTCTGCACTCTCCTAGTGCTGCACTTTCAATCCAGAGCCGTAAGCAGCCTCTTGCTGCGCCTCACACACACAGGCTGAACTCAGCTTACACACACACAGTGAAGCTTGTCTACAGCTGTGCCTTTTTCCTCTTGATTCTGCAGCCTTCACTTCCCAAATCTTTCTCCAGTTACCTCTACTGTTAACATCTACCCCTTTTCCTTCATCGCCTTTTCTGCTGACTTTCTCAATAAAACCTCATTTCTCGTGGCTTCAACTGGGCTGCTTTTCATATTTTAAACATTACTTATTTTATGCAAAAACAGTTACCTTAGAACATTTTTCTCATCTCATGCAAAAGGCCCTTGACCTTTAAAATCCAGGGAGCTCTCTTTAGCCTCCCCTTCCCTTAACACAAAAATCAGGTCCTTGACCTTAAAATCCAGGGAGCTCTCTTTAGCCTCCCCTTCCCTTAACACAAAAATCAGGTCCTTGACCTTAAAATCCAGGGAGCTCTCTTTAGCCTCCCCTTCCCTTAACATAAAACCAGGCCCTTGACCTGTGGACTTTTAGGGTTCCCACACCTATGGATCCAGCCAAGCATTATATAACCTCGTTATATATTCTATCCGCTCGTCAGCAAATAGTGTGGTCAGCCACGACCTGGAAATGGAACTTTAGGGCTCCTCAGCCCTGGGTCACCATCCCTTCATCTGTACTATTTCCTTTTCTCATTTACTCATTAAACCATTACAAAAAATCCTCATTTCATTTCACCACTAAACCATTACAAAAAATCTCTTATTCTCCTGCACTTGTCTCCACTTTCTTCTCCAACTATTATTTTAGGACCTCAGCTACTATGATTCTGGACACAAAGGCTTTGGATAAATCCAATGAGCAGATTTTAGATAATAGGCTCTGCTCACCTTGTTTTCCACCGCGGTGTTCTGTGCCAAGATCGTTCGCTGGGTCAGTGGGTCGAATCGTCCTCCAAAAACTCCTTTTTCTTCAAAAAGAAAAAATCCTGTTCGTGACGCCAAATTTGTTGGTCTCTCCTCCGTTAGACCAAGCACGGGTACGGAGTAGATGGAGTTAAACACCTTTAAAGTTGTCAGAACGAGGAGACAAATGATCAGAAGTCCATTCACTGTTTCGCCGCTCATGAGGGGGAGAGTCTCTGCAGCAAGTCCCGCGACCTGCTCTTGCCAGATGCTTCGGACAGACTCTCGCCGTTCTGCTGAAACGGCTGATTTTTATTGAAGAGTACAGGAATGTAACATACGCAGTTTGCCATGTACATACGTCAATGATCATGACAGGTGAAAATAACAGCCTTGTTAGCAGACAGTTTAATACATCACTAGAACACATCCTTGAGATTACCAGGAGCATCCTGATATATTCATGACAGGAGAAGATACATTCACTGGTACCGAGAGGCACTGAGTGGAGATGGAATGTGCACACTCCCTTCTCTTGTGCAGGAGAAGATACACAGCTATTAATCTTTGTGTGAAGGCCTTGAGTATCTGAGCGAGTTTCCATAGCATAGATAATAAAATGAGCTTATAAGGTAAATATATATATATATATATTGCCTTGTTAGGCAGGATCTAACATGTCACAAGAACTTGTAATTCTTAAGATAAGCAGAAATATCCTTGGTAACCTGGTACAAGAAGAGACTGCAATGTCTCACTCCCTTTTGGAGTTCCTGCAGCTGTTTTAAGAGCTTGTGCAGGAGAGAAACACAGAGAGACCTTTATATTATAACATGATCCCATAATGAAAAGAGTAGCATGTAAGAATGAATAATAAAAGAGCTTATAATAATATATGAAAGAGCTTATATGAGAGATATATATTTTCACCACCTACATCCAAAGAACTGCTTCTGAGTTTTCTTTCCCAAGATTGATGACCACACAACATACAGCTTGAGGACAGGTGTCTCAGTCCTTTCATCCACCATTATTATTAGAGAAACAAAGCAACAATTTAAAGATATTTACTATTTGTAAATCTTTATGTGTGTAATCCCCCACCCCAAAGATGTACATGGTATTAAACTTCCAGGAAATGGTCTACTGTTTGCATGAGAAATAATAAAAAACTTACTTGTACAACCTGACCTTCAACAGTCAGGAGGCCACCAACACCTTTCCATTCCATCAGTTTCACCACCTTGGAAGATGGAAAGAGTAGAGCCTTTGCTGCCTCCGGCAGGCCCTCGCATGTGAGCTCCACTGGGGAGCTTTTAAAGAAGTTAGTTTTTTTACTGACCATAATGTGTAGTGGTGGGGTGTCTCCTTTTAAATAATAATTTTTAATTATGTAGTTTTTTTTTTTCTTCCAATTTGTGTCGCAATTCCTCAAATAATGTCACTTTAGACACTGTGTGGCCATCTGTGATGGCCACCACTTTGTTAATTTTTGTTATTTTGGCCTCAGCCGAATCTATTCCAAACTCCCAGGAAACTACACGGGCACTTTCCCTCTCAGCCAGTACATGGACGTGTAAAGGTGGAGGAGTCCAGTATGGGGAAGAAGGCCTTGTGTTAAGGATTTTGTTGAGTTCCATTCTGAAATAAAAAAAAATAACAAACCATCACTGAACATTACCTCATTACATATTTCGTTACTAATAAAATAGTTCAGTTGTATTATTGTTCATACATGTTGCATGCACGTGAAGCTGACATGTTTAGCCTATGTACAATGCTTCAATATGATCCCAATTCTTGAGAGCCAACAGTGATAAATGCAGCAAGATGTGTTTAAAGATCAATTATATTTTTCAGTTTATAAAAGAAAGTAAATCAATATATGTTGCCTAACAGGATCGGATTGTCATCATAGTGCTTTCTTCACAAAAATCACTAAAACAGCGGTTGGTGGCAAGAGCACAGCAGAGGGAAAAAGGCTGCTGCTAAAAGAAATAGCCAATCACAGAAGAGCCCTCCTAGCCAATCAGAAGCGAGAAAGGCGGGATCTTTGCTCCCGGTTATGGGGGAAGACCTCTGTAATGAGCAGGTGCTTGTAGGAAACCCCGTAGAAACGAGAGCATCTACGTAACCGTTGACGTTGCGGAGAGTCCGTGCTAATCCTACCTAACACCGTCGCGTGACAAGCTGGCATTGCCAAAATCTGCAGTGACACCCTGTGGGTTTTAAACTATTGGGAGACTAATCAGAGCATTACTAAAATGTTGGATTTATATTTAAGCTAAAAAAAATCACCCAGAGCTGTACGTTATTTATTTACTTGTTGTGACTGTGACTGGTCGAAATTGTGGCAATAGATGGCTTACCTGTAATTTTGCCTGTCACTCCTTCCCAGGGTAGAAAAAAAACGTTTTAAAAGTTTCAGTCTCGATTGTTTAGGCATATTTAAAACATACTAGTTTTTCAGGTGGATTAAGACAAGATAATTACGATCTTCATTGAAGTTAAGTTCGTCATAATTCATGTTGAAGGTTCTTCAACAAGAATTATGACGAACTTAAAAAAAGTGGTTCGTGATTAGAAACTATGCTCTCGGACAGTCAGTAAGGTGAAATGGCGAAGCATTTGATCATTTATGTGGAATGAAGATCTAGGAATTAAGTCTCACGTACCTCTTGATTGTCCTGCTGCTGGAGATTGACTGGGTCACGGCTGGCTCACAGTCCTCTTGAAGCAGCAACTGCCCGGCTCGAGCTGTTGTCATGGTGACAAAATCATTCCTCGAAGGAAAACTTATGATTTCATAATGCCTTTAACTTTTAATAACTTTTATTGTTTGATACAAATCTTAATCTTTATATATATATATATATATATATATATATATATATATATATATATATATATATATATATATATATATATATATATATATATATATATATAAATACTTGTGTCGGAAATATGTACTGAATAAACTCGTTTTTACATTTAACTGCTTTTCAAAGCAGTTTTTTATAATCGCGGGATTTCCTACAGGACCCTGAACGCCTCTTAACTGTTTCAGTTTGTTCTCCGTGAAGGTAAGTCATAAATCTGCTTTTCTTCTTCTGTTTATCCGGTGTATCCACCTGTGGAAGGTTTGGTGTTTTTCTCTGTTGGTAATGTGACAAGAGACACGATTTATATCATGGCAGAATACGTTTAATAGATTTTTGTTTGAATAAAAGGTATTTAGATCTGCAGCTGGATCAACCGTTAGCTTCCCTTGTAGTTTAATGCAGCTAACTTCATGTGTGCTGTTTAAACTTAATCAAAAGTTGTTTCGCTTAATGAGAAATGGTGTCAGATGTTTTTAACATTCTAGTTTTTTCTGTTTGAAGTTAAATGTGTAGTCGGTTCAGCCCAAAAGCTACTAACGGCTCCAACAGCTAATGCTAGTGTTGGATTCAGACAGAAAACCGTCGATTCTGCTACACTAAAATATTATTTCTTTCTTTCTGTAAAGTGTAGAAACACGCATAGATTAATGAGGAAACCCCCAAATGAGTAAAATCAGCTCATTTTAAGCAGTGACTGTAAGGTTCATATTTGACATTACATCGCTGCAGTACTTTTATTTAGAAAATTACCAGTGCTTTTACATTAAAACCGTGTGTGATTTCCTGTCTAGCCCTATGTTAACTGCGGAAATCAACGTGTCGCAGAAGTGGCTCTCGGCAAAATTATAACCCGATCCTATCTTTAGCGGAGCGGTGTGCGGGTTTCGGTACGGGATCTGCTCGGGTACAGGATCGGCTCGGGGTCCTTCGACTGCCGATGACGTCAACGTGGTTGATTGGCTGAACATGAAGCTTACGGAAGTGACGTAATCACGTTATGATGATATAGTCTTAGCGGTTGTAGTCCTGTAGTCCAAAAATCAACACGTTTTGGAGAAAATATGTTTGAATTTCTAAAGGAAATGTAAAATATAAGCAATTGATAAACGGTGACCCTCAAAATCTCTTGAAGTTGATGAAATGGGGCAAAATAAAATATAATAACTTTATTGAAAGACACCAAGCAACATTTAGAGTCAAAGAATGTATTTAGATAACAACTAAGGAAATATACAGACGAACTCCACATTAATACAAACAGATATGGCTTCACATATAAGAACTGTCCTATTGTTTGTCAGTCCGATGTTGGTTTTATGCAGTTTCACATTCTTTACAAAACAAAGATAATATGGTGTTTTATTAACAAATTACAATTATAAAGAAAACATTTAGGTGTTAACAAACAAGAATTTATTAACAACACTGCTGACGTCTTTCCAAAACGTATGTGTGAAAGCCGAGTAGAGTTGCAGTCATGTGAAGTCATCGGCAGTCGAAGGACCCCGAGCTGATCCTGTACCGACACTGGCTTCCTCAATGATCCAACACAAGATGAATGCAGTAGTATATCACGGCAGAATCTAACCCTAACCCAGGCAAAAAAGGGTTTGGGGTATTTCTTATGAAGAAATTACAATATCACATGGTACAATGTTCCAAAAAGTAGATTTTTTTAATGATCTGAACATTTACAAAAACTGTTCAATCAATGAACCTCTGTCCACAGTCTTGCGTTTTATGTGATATTAGTTATAGCTCCCCCTTCAGTTCCAGAACGTAAGTGTTGCATTTTCCAAATATGGAATGAGTCTGACTGGTAGCCCTACAACGCCTCTTTCTTCGTGCTGCAGCCAGGGCCTTCTCGCTACTTGGGCCAGCTCCTCCAGGAGAATCCCAAGGTGTCCCCTGGCCAAACGAGTCCCTCCAGCGTATCCTAGGTCTTCCCTTTGGTCTCCTCCCAGTTCGAGCACAAATGTTTTATTGTTAAAATGTTATAATTAAAACAGTTTTTTCTTTGTCTGGCTTTTATAGATTAACAGATAATGTACAGGTCAAACAGCGCTGAGCAGATAACAGAATATCTAGTGGTAAAATCCAACAATATAAAATCTTATGTAACATGATATGTTTTTGTTTTCTTTTTTAGACTGAGAGCTTTGAGCGTGGTTTGGTGCATCAGCAGGTAAGTTAAGCACACCTGGAGGCTGAAGGGGGAAAATCCATCACGTTTATTCTTTGTGGCCTTAATGTAGCCTTGAGTTTATTGTCTCATCAGTAATTGGGTGGTTGCAGATTCAATAACTCCAGCCATGTTGATCAGATGTGATTAAATTGAATCTACTCATCAGTGCACTGAGTTTAATTCATTGTTCAAATGAAATGTTTACTGTTTAAGAAACGTTTAATGTCTGTTTGATCTCTAGGTGATAATTTACATTTGGAAGTAAAGCACATTTTATATGTTGAAGACAGAATTATACTGGAGACTCATTATTTTCTCTGTTCCACAGAAAGAACGTGATTCCTTCTTCTGTGCTTACAGGTGAGTAAAACATGTTACCTGTGTGAAACTTGGAGCTGTCTTCATTTAATTTTATTGCATAGAAAATAAATGCAGACTCACACATCTGTCTGTCTCTGTCTCAGTGATGGACTGGTTGGTGTTTATATGTAGAAACCAGAACTTTCCAGACTACTAATTGTTGGGTTTCTGTTCTCAGAATATTTCCTGTGTATCCTGTGGTGACTGGTGAGTAAAACATGTTAAATGTATGATGGAGGTTTTTCCAGGTTTTCTACAGAGGTTAAAAACAGCTGTTGTCTGAAGAGTGTCTGCTGATGTGGCAACAGGTAATCAGGGAGACACCGATAGCAGATGTGCAAAACAAGGTAACACAAACACGGTCACTCTTGCCCCTCCCATTGGCCATCATTCCCAGGCCAAGTCTGGCAGATGTGGAACCTGCATTGCCAGAGAAAACAAGAAAGCGCTAAACATTGGTCGCCATTTTCTAGGACCAAACGTCTTTGACTTGGGCTTTTCTTTCAGTCAAGAGCAGGTAGAGGTGCTTAAGTGTATCTAGAGATGCTCCGATCTGATCATGTGATTAGAAATCGAGTCTGATATCGTGATTTTTCAATGGGCCTGAATGAACTCTATCAGAGTTTCTCAGAAAAATTAGTTGTGCAGACTTGCACATGCACCCACATACATAACAGACTCACTGCTCAGTAGAATGAGCAAACATAGAAACTGCAGCAGGCTGGAGGGTTTCCACTCCACCTAGATCACTAGAAGAAAGGGAGGAGAATGTTTCCTTTATGGAGGCAAGCGGCTCTGAGCTGTAACGTTTTCATATCGACCTGTGAGATGACTCTTGTCGTGAGTTGCCACTATGTAAATAAACTTAATTGAATGAATTCTGAGTGGAGGTGTGGTCATGACTCAGCTGGAGTCCAGTGCAGTTCTGTCATTTAACGTCACCTTGTACCTTTTAGCCATCAGCTGTGGCAGATTCAGAATCAATTTAGAGCAGAGTTTTAACCTGGAGATGGACAAATGGCTATGGTTTGAAGATGAATTATGAAATTTTAAGTAAGCGGAGGCTTACAGCTGTGCTTTGTGATAAAGTAGGCCCAAGTCTAAAATGACGCCAGTTATTCATTTATGTTACTAATTACTTGCAGTCAGTCTGATTGTTTAGGTCACCAAGCAGAATTGGGATAGCTAAATAGTAATTTTAAGGATGTTTTACTCACAATGCTAGTTGGATCCATTCACTTACTGTGTTTTATGCTAAGCTAAAGGAGTACAGCCGGGTTGGGAGCATGACTGGGCTGGTTACAAATTGATTTTTTCCTACTTATTGAAATATTAAACAAAAAAATCTGAGAAATATGTCAATAGACAAATTAAAATTTTGGGTGGAATATCCCTTTAAGGAGGACACTATGCTACATGCTTGAAGGATCCCATGTTCCTGAGAAGGCTGTGTGAAGAAAACCTGGCTGCATGTGGGCGGGCCGACCAGATTGATGTTTGTGTTTAACCAAATTATTTCTTAGCTGTTGTTATTATTAACCATATTTCATCAGCTTCCATAGCTTCAGAGTAGTAGCAGCTCTAGATTTTGAATATGTACACACACACACACACACACACACACACACACACACACACACACACACACACACACACACACACACACACACACACATTGACCCTTTGAATTTATGTCACCTGATCTCATAGGTCCATCATAGCAGAGGGTAACAGTGAATTATGAAAGTATTGAACGATGGGCAAAGTGACGACTGAAGTTGTTTTCTTTACCAGTTTAGTCTGGCTTCTACTTGTTCTAGCCCAGTTCACTTGTGGGAAGGTTTAGTACTAGTGTTCACAATAGTTAAGTGTTAACTAGCTTAAGAACATTAGCTCACGTTCTCCCTGCTGTTGGACACCAATGTAAACAAATTGCCCAGTTTGCCAGAATGCACCCTGCTGGATTTCTAACATTAGGGGACAACCAGGGTTCACCTTACACCGGAGATGATTAAAAACAACTTTAAAAGTCTGGATCCCTACCATTTGTTTTTGTTTTCACTGGCTGGGTCATCGGGTTTAGATGCTACTTTCACACTGGGGCAAGACGCTGAAGCTCATCATGCAAAATAAATGATGTCATTTTCACACGTAATCATTTATTGGAACTATATTACTGGCATATAGTAATTCACTATAGTGAATGGTAATGTATATCCTTCAAAGTGAAATACCGGAGTATCAATACTAAAAAGATATGTAAACATGGCATTTATCATTTCAGGTCCATCTTAGCCAGTCACTGTCTTTCTCATTACATATTTGAATGTTAGCCAAAGGTGCTCTCTGTAAATCCAATAATACTTTGACGACTGCTAGTCTGATTGGCTGCTGTGATTTATTCGTGTCCTCGGTCTCTATCAAAGGCATCAAAACCAGACTAGTTGAATCTAGACCTGTGTCTGTTATAGAGGTGTGAATCTTCACTTGTCTCCCGATTCGATTACGATTATTGGGTCAACGATTCAATTCGATTCGATATCCCGATGCATCACGATGCATCACGATTATTTCATATTGATTTGTTTTCATCGATAAATAGAACATGTCAGATAATTGCTTTTTTTAAAAATCAAAAACGTAATTGATACAACCTGCCAGCCCTCAAAAGCTCTCCATTCACAACAGGTTAGGACAAAACATTTAAACATTTAAGAAGATTTAACAAAGCAAAACATCTGTTTCCTCTTTCAACACCACGCCTCAGGCTGAGAAAACATGCTTTACAAAATCTCACAAAATCTAAAAAAGTACTGAAAACCCACAGGACACAACATAATGTAATAATCAGATACAATAATGGGTTCATATATGAGTGTTTAATGTCTCTGAGCAGCTCTAGAGTCAGATATTTATGCCACAGTTGAAGGGTGTCAGAAATAACACCAAATGAAATGTTTGACTTAGTTTATTTTATTTGAACCCAGTGGTTCGTTTCTGAAATGTTGGAGAATGAATCAAGTTCTGTTTGATGCAGAAAATAATAAAACACAAAACAAATTCTACACTTCCAATAATATTTAAGATGTGTGTTTTATTCTTCCTCATAATAACACCAGCAGAAGGCTGTGGGCTGGATTAGGATTAAATTACCCAGGTTATGGATCTCCTTCACTAACCAGCTAACTAAAAACCTTTCCACTAACCTGTCCTGTGTGACCCTCATGTCCATGCTGTCTCTGGAGGAGCAGATAGGAGACAAGTCTTCTGTAACTTAAAATGAACCAAAGCTTCCTCCCAGTTTTTTAAAATAGAATTTAACATCAGTTTATCATCATGAAACAAAAGAATAAAGTGGAACAAGAACTTCTTTCTTCTATTTCTCTCCTTCTCTGTGTCCCTAAATAAAAGAGACAGACGATCACGCTGCAGCCACCGTCATTGACCCTGCCCCCTCCCCAAGACCGGATTTCCCTACATTACAACAAGCAGTCTGACTGAGCGCTTCCAGGAGAAATAATAATTAAATTATGAAAATAATAATGCGTGTTTGGAGCATCGGTTTGGAGGAGCGTCCTCCGATCCTCTCGTGTGAGCAGTCCCCCCCCCCCCCCCCCCCCCCTCTCAGTTGCTGTGCGAGCGAGCGGAGCGCGCCGCACGACAACCCGCTCAATTCACATAATTCACGGCCCAAATCCAACAGAACCGGTCGGGCTGATTCGGTTCCAGTTCGGTCTCAGGTTACAACTCAAGCGCTCAGCCCTGCAGTACTGTACCACATTAAGGCAGAACCACTTGGTAAATGTGGAGGACGCTCACTCTGACAGATTTGGATCTGCGCTGGTGCCGCCATTAAAAAAACAAAACTACATTCCACTATAATCGATTATGGCGTACTCCTCTACGATGCAGAATCGTTTATGTCCGCATCCCGATGCATCGATTATTTAATTATTTTCCTCAGCTCTAGTCTGTTAGTGCAGCCAACCACGCAGCACACTATTACCAGGTTACTGTCACTTCAGCAGAATAAAAGCTAGAAAGACTACAAAGTTGCTTGTTATGACGCTTTGCAGGTGATTACATTTGTGTGAACAGTCTTCCTGCTGTCTGTCGTGCCTAAGAGGGCAGTCCCATGAGCGGCGTGACATCACATGCAAAAGGTCAAAATGCGGGTGTGTGTATTGACCTTTTTCATGTGACGTCATGCCGCTCATGGTACCGCCCCCTTTGCCATGATGGTTGGCAGACGTGTAGACATGTTGGAACTCCTATGAAGTTAGTGAAAATAAGACAGTTTGTAGCCTTTTATCGCTTTTATTTGGTTGATTTCACAGTAAAAAGGTGATCATTTGCAGCGAGGCTAGCTTCACTAATAGACAAGGTTGTAAATTCAACTCGTATTTCTTTGTTACTTTGATGGAGACTGAGGACTGAGATGAACTGCAGCGATTAATAAAATGGACTAGCAGCCCTCCAGTATTCTGGATTTGCAGCAAACAGGTTTTACTGGGTAAGATGAACATTCATATATTTCATGTGGAAGACCGGGACAGGGACAAATGTCGTGTATGGATGGATATTTCATCATGGAGGACATGCGTTATCGTCCACTGTAGTGTAATGTGAGATAATTATTTATAATAACATTGTTCCAATGCAGTACTATGTGTGTTAGACTAGTGTTATTTATTTAGTATGATGAGCGTTGTCTTTAAGTGGTATCTTGTCTCCTCCCGGTGTGAGAGCAGCAGCTGAACCAAGTGACCCTGCCAGCAATAAAAGCTGGTAGGGATGTAAAAGTGTAATGTAACGTGACACTCTGTTTATCACGTGAATCCAGCAGGCTGAATTCTGGAAAAGTCAGCAACTTGTTTACGTCTGTGAACAGCAGCAGGGACAATGTAAACTAACGTTCATCAGCTAGTTAACAATTAAGTTTGCAAACACTGCTCTCTCTGAGCCCCACAGTGTGCTAAACCTTCACACAAATGAACTGGGCATGATCTAGTAGAAACCAGGCAACACTGGTAAAAAAAAACAACAAAACAAACTCAGTCGCTACATTTCCTCTCAGTTCTCTCCATAGTTCACTGTTGCCCCACCTAAGTGTGCTACTTCTTCTGATAACCAAACTTAGGTTTAACTAGCTGAAGCAAAGCTAAAGATCACAATAAACAACGGCAACAACAAAAACCATTTCAGACGCTACTTTTCACTTTGTTTAGTATTCGTGTCTGTCACTGTTTACATGCTTTTGTCAATCAATATGGTGGATTCACATGATTAGGTGACATAGATGTGTGTGTGTGTGTGTGTGTGTGTGTGTGTGTGTGTGTGTGTGTGTGTGTGTGTGTGTGTGTGTGTGTGTGTGTGTGTGTGAAATTTCATTTTCAGTTTCATTTGAAATGTCGTCAAATAGAATATTTGATTAATCGATGGAGGTATCGATAGAATATTGGACAGCTGCAGCCCTAGTTTCCATCTTCTGTCTGCCCCTTCACGAAGAGCCCTGCTTTGGTGATTTGGATCAAATGTGTGAGAGAAAACTAAACCATCAATCAGGCACAAATTGAAAAGCTGTTTGTGTAACATTAATGTTCTTTTTCAGTGACTAAAGGTAAGTAGCTACAGCAAATGGACCCTATTCACCTTATTCCTAGCCTCCTTGATCCATTGTGTTAAATTTGCGACCGACTTCAGGTCGATTGTTTAACATTGAGACCACAGATGTATCGTGCAATCTGCGCTAATCCTCTTTTTATTGGCTTTTAGAGATGACCCTATTTTGGGGTTTAAATAAATAAAGCCCTGACTTTAAACACCTCAATACAGTATTGTAAATAAACATCAAACATTTGCTCATACATAAAGCTAACCATCGTCCACACCGGTATTAAGACAAAAGTTGTCGTCTTGACACCAAACCCCCCCCCCCCTGCATGTGATCTGGCATCAGTTTTGTCCTGAGTGAACTTTGGTCTCACATCGCTGTTTGCCTTGCAGCAATGTTTATTTACAAATGAAGCACAGTTTCTACATGAGTCTGGTGAATAAGGTGAAAAATTCATGATAACAGATTACTGTATCAATCCATGTTTGTTTTATTCTGATGGTGTCAGGTTTGGTTGTGCTTGGTCTTCTCTGACATCTTTGATCACCAAAGCAGGGAACTTAAGAAGGTGGGAGAGAACGTACAGGAGAAGAGTTGTGTGCTTCTCATGGTGCCTGAAGCTGCGTGCACTGTTTGGTTGGCAGTCACTCACTCAAACACATTTGACTCGCTAACAGAGGCTATGTGCCTTCTTGCGTTTAGAGTGACTGCAGAAAACACGTTTGAGTTTTTAAACAGTTAATAGTGAGCGAGCAACAGACTTGTAATACTTACAGAATGCATCAACAGATGTTGACTCGAGTGTCTAACATGTGTTCTTTTGTGTCTTTCAGGTTTTATGTTGTTTGTCGACCTCTACTGAACTATCATTTTGGACTCCTCTATCTTTTGTGCTTCTATCCTGCT